AGCAGGAGAGTGGAGAGGAAATTAAACATCATTCCAAATTGCTAGTTTCTCTCTTCACATCTTGAAAGGAAATAATCTTGAAGTTATCAACCTCCACAGTGCTTTACTGATATCTTTGCTCCTCAGGCTATAGATAATGGGGTTCAGGGTTGGCGTCACAACAGAGTAAAACAGGGCCAGAAATCTGTCACTCTCTGGGACATAGCTGGACCTGGGTCTCAGATACATGGCACTGGCAGATCCATAGAACAAAATGATAACAATGAGGTGGGAGGAGCAGGTGGAGAAAGTTTTGTGTCTGGCATCGGCTGGGATGAGGTGGGAGGAGCAGGTGGAGAAAGTTTTGTGTCTGCCATCGGCTGATGTGATTTTCAGGACAGCACTGATGATGTGGACATAAGAAACAAAAATCAACAAGGCGGGCATTAAGGTGATTAACAATCCAGCTACAAAGACTGCAATTTCATTCATGGAGGTGTCTCCACAGGCCAGATACAGAAGAGGAGGAATGTCACAGTAGAAATGATCAATCTGGTTGTGCCCACAGTAGGGCAAGGTAAATATTAGTGTGGTCTGTACCAAGGAGAGCAACAAGCCACTGGCCCATGAGATACCCACTAGGCAGCTACACAGTTGCTTGTTCATGTGGACCATGTATTGCAGGGGGTTGCAGATGGCTAAGAAACGGTCATAAGCCATAACAGCAGGGAGGAAGCATTCAGTTGTCCCGAGGGAAAGAAGAAAATACATCTGAAAGGCACAACCAATGAATGAGATGGTCCCCTTTTGGGAAAGCAGGTTTGTCAGTAATTTTGGGATGGTGACTGAGGTGTAGCAGATATCAACCAAGGACAAATTGGAGATGAAGTAGTACATGGGGGCATGAAGGGTGGAGTCAAGATAGACTGTTATAGTGATGAGGATATTTCCCAGCAGGGATGTGATGTACATGATGAAAATCACTGCAAAGAGCAAGTTCTGAAATTCTGGATGACAGGAAAATCCCTTCATGATGAACTCAGTAGTTTGGTTTTTACCTTCCATGTTCCTAGAAAGACACATCCAACAGTATTAATAAAATGGCATTTGTGAATGCTTTCAACCACTGACAAGGTGAGTGGTAAAATATTACTACTCCCCCCCTGCTTACTACTAGAAGGATATTATTGAAAATAAATAGGATGTGATTTATACGTTATACTGTAATCTAGGTAATGTTGACAAGGTTTATAATTATTGCTTTAGATACTCTGCTAACATTAATAATTTGCTTGAGGGAAAAACAGGCTACATCCACAGTGTGTTAGGGCTGCAGATCCCCATTTAAGGCTGCCCCTGATAAGAGTACATGTGAAAAGAAGACTTTCTGCAACTTCAGAATAATATAAAAAAAAGAATTTTGGCAGTCAAAGCCACCAGCATTAAACTATCCCGAGTGAAGATAACTTTGGTTTTGGGGAAAGTGCTAATCATAATTAAAAAGTAGCTTGCTGTGTATTTTGATAGGAAGACTTTAATAGCATGTAGCCAGCTGGAATTCTGTTGAAATAATAGTGTGGGTTTTGTTAACTGAATACATTAAGGCAGAAATGTGTCATGTTTAGTTGAAGTTAACGTGAGAAAACCAAGTTTAGAGGTGGTTCTTGGAGTTGTCAGAATCTATAGATGGAAGGCTCCATGGATGACTTACTAGCACGCAGTCTGGATTTTTGCAGTGGGTGTGTCTAAACCTGCGTGTACACCAACTTAAATTTACTGTGCAGTAAGATACTGTGGAGTATGGGCATGCACATGTAGATGAGTACCTGTACTGTGGAGTTATTTTAGTTACTGCGCAGTAAATGTGTGCGTGTAGATGCACCCAGTGAGTAGTAGGTAACATAGCCTATTCCACTTCCTGTGCTCTCTAGCCTGATGGCTGATGGATTAACTGCTTACATCTATCAATATATTTTAGGTATCCAGGTTGTAACTGTATTGGTCTAGAGGAAAAAAAGAATCAGAGCTCATGGTAGAAGTGATATCTTTTATTAGACCAACAAGATTTTTGAAAAAAAAAATATTTGCAAGCTTTCAAGCATAAACACCTTTCACCAGGCATTTGAGAAAAGATTGTAAAAGTTATCCTGGGTAGAAATGAAAAATCTTATTTCATAGGATTTCACAGAGGAGTCAAAAGATGGAAAATTCATCTGGGCAGGAAGGTCTTAGCTGTTAAAGTGTCTCTCACCTCTCTCGTGAGCTTCTGTGATGATGCAAATCAGCTTGAACAAAGGCAGGAACAGTATCTCCGGTTTCAGGTGGTCATAGTTGCTTCCTCCTTGGGAAAATATGAGACTTTTTGCAAAATAAAATAATTTTATTGGTCTAATGAAAGATACCACCTTGGTCTAGAGGAGAAAGCAATCTGGGCTCATGACAAATACAGCAACAACCTGGATACCTGACACGTGGAAGATATAAAATTGTAGCCAGTTTTTAAAAATGAAATCCTCATTTCATTTAATAGCTGCCTTCAACTACCTGGAGGGTGGTTCCAAAGAGGATGGAGCTGGACTGTTCTCAGTGGTGGCAGGTAACAGAACAAGGAGCAATGGGCTCAAGTGCAGGAAGAGAAGTTGAGGTTAGATATGAGGAAAAACTTTCTCATGAGGAGAGGATAGTAAAACATTGAAACGGGTAACCGAGAGAGGTTGTGGAATCTCCATCCTTGGAGGTCTTTTAAGACCCAGCTAGATAAAGCTTCATCTGAATGATTTAGTTGGGGATGGTCCTGCTTTGAGCAGGTGGTTGGATTACATGACCTCCTTAGTTTCCTTCCAGCCTTCATTTTCTATAATTCCATGAAAATTTCTCCGGCTTCTCCTGCATCATTCACTGTCCAGATTAGAGTGATTTAGCTTTCTGATATTTCTGTAAACTTATGCAGTTGTATAAAACGACCTCCCTCTCCACTTTTATGGCACTATATGTGTATGTTTGTTCAGAGGCATAACAAGCATGGCTTGTATCTTGGGCAAACACTATGGGAGACTGGAGGACTGGGGGGAACAGCCAGAGAGAGTGTGGAAGGGGCATGGGTTCTGAGAGCAGAGCAAGAGGGTTGCAGAAGTCTTACCTATTCTGGGGACTCCAAAACAGGCTCTGGCTGCTACCGCTACCACCTTGTTCTTAAGGCAGTGTGGTATCTAAGCACCAGCTGCTGCTGCAAGAGCAACTCTGTGGGGCTGTTTTTGCTACTGGGGCACAGATTCCATGGGGGTAGGGAGCAATTCTGACACTCTTCCTATGTTGGCACCCAGGTATAGTGCCCTTCTCACCCACCCCTAGCTACTGTACTGTGTTTGTCAATTTCCTTTAAGGCCCTTTTAAAAAAAATAATTTTAAATGTGGGTGCGCACTTTGGGAATTTTTCCTCCTACTCTTGTGACACACTCATCTTTTCTTCATTTTTGCACCATGTGTTGCTCAGTCCCATTTTCGATGTCCTAAAACATGATGTTATTTAATAACCTTGTGGGGAGACTGCCAACTATTTTTCCATGATGATGTCTGGGTACCTAGTCCAGAACTTGCTTTTATGTCTCTTTGAGACAGTTTCCAGAAATGTAGTTTTCCTCTCTATATAAACTGGGATACTGTGTCCTTATACCATAAGGATCATCAAAGTGATTATTTGGTTGGATAATGTCAGCAAAATTAATTGGGAATGAAGAAAGACTCAGTGCACCTTATCAAATAAGCACAGTAACTGCTACTTTTTATTTTCTTGTTTTAAATAAAGAGCTATTATTTAACTTAGATCATGTTGGTGTTATTATTCCCATTATAGCAAAGAACAGTCAAGAAGAATCTTCCTTAATATACATGATAATAATAATATTCCTTAATATAATCATAGAATCATAGAAATTTAGGGTTCTAAGGGACTTCAGGAATTCATGTAGTCCATCACCCTGCTCAAAGTAAGATCATCCCCAACTAGATCACCCCAGTGAAGCTTTGTGGAGCTGGGTCTTAAAAACCTCCAAGGATAGAGATTCCACCACCTCTCTGGGTAACCTGTTTCAGTGCTTTAATACCCTCCTAGTGAGAGATTTTTTCCTCATATCTAACCTAAAATTGTCTTGCTGCAACTTGAGAGACCACTGATCCTTCTTCTGTCATCTGACACCATTGAGAACAGTCCAGTTCCATCCTCGCTGGAACCCCACTTCAGGTAGTTGAGGGCTGCTATTAAATCCTTTCTCAGTCTTCTCTTCTCCAAACTAAATAAGCCCAGTTCCCTCAGTTTCTCCTCAGAAATCATGTGCCCCAGCCCCCTAAATATTTTAATTGCTGTCTCCAATTTGTCCACATCCTATCTGTAGCGGGGGCCCCAAAACTGAACACAGGACTCCAGATAATCACAACAAGTTATTGCATTTCTTTGATCCTATGAATCTCATGCTGCCACTAAACATTTATAGAATAAATATGTAAAAATGCAACTCAGGTTAGTTAGCACCTTAGAAGAAGAATTAGCTTTGTGTAGTGGCAGCATTGCAACAAATGAAGCTAATCCCAACCATAATTCTTGCAAATTGAAAATTTAGAAGATAAATGGTATCTATTAAAATATTTTAAAATCCATTTAGCAATCTTTTGATATTTCCATGATTATGACACTCAAAAGTTCAATCAGCATGGCATTATGTATATTGTTATATAAGTGAGATTTGCAGAGGTTTTTGAGTTATTGACTAATTAATCTATCATATAATTTATCCTCTCCCCTTTTACCATAAATAAGTGATATCAGATTCCATTTTCAATACAATATTTTTCCCTCAATTAGCAAAATAAATAATAACTACTGGAAATAAAACATAATTATGATTCATACCTAATCTCAAAATCTCAGAACAGATTATCTCCATTATAAGGATTTGTTTTTTGTACAAAACAAATATATGGTGTAAAGATTTATTGGTGTATATGCAAAAAACTACAACAGGCACTATGTGATGGACTCAAGGAACCCCTCAGAAAATGTCAGCCCTTAGTTTTCACTTGATTTTTGACCAAAGAAAAATAATAGAGGAAAAAAACTGCGAAAGCCTAAAACAGGTCAGAATGTTTTTAATACTATGGATTCCTATTTGAAATCTCTGGAATTATATTGTGAGTTGTGCTTATACAACTAAAAGCCCTGACAAAGCATGGCATCCTGTGGCACCCTTGAAAAGATCTCAAGCCACCCCAGGGCACCCTTGTCAAGAATCAACTTTCTTTTAATCTCTGTCTACAGAGAGTTAAATCTCTATTTTTATTTAAAAAATAAAAAGAAAGCAACAACATTTTTTTCTTGCAATCATGATATAAAAATCACAAAATATCACAGAATCACATAAAAAGGGCTGGAAGAGACCTCAGGATGTCATCTAGTCCAACCCTCTGCTCAAGGCAGGACCACCCTCCCCAAACAATCCTATACAAATCCTTGTCTGACCTATTCTTAGCTGTATGTTATCAACCCTTTGAACAATTACAAGGCACATTGCCCCAAGACACCAAGAGCATCCTAATCTGCCACAGGCAAAGCATGAAGACACTGTGGGTTAGGGTCCTGCTGCTACAAGGTTTATAAACATGCACTTGAGAGAACACTGACATGTGTTATAATGTGACCTTACAAATCCAAAATATTTGGATGGCAAAACCATATGCAGATCACTGAACTTGTTTGCCAATTATTTTGTTTAATTCTTTATTCTAAACTTTTTGAATCAGCTGTTGTCCTCACGTACCTTCTCAGCTTTTGAAGATCCCTGCAGCCCTTGAATGTCCATGTTTTGGTACTACCATATGCAAGAAACTCCGCACACTTTATACATCCTCCATGGTCTTTATATGTTGTTGAGTAATAAATCCTTGAAAAGGAGCATCTAATTTTTCACTGGGGAATCAAACAATTTGCTAAGAAAACAATTTTCTAAGAATCAAAGAACTTGCTAAGAAATTCTCTTAGCTTAAATAACAATATCATCTGTATCCATCCACTG